GAGTCAAGTTCTTGTATATAAGAATGAGTCTGGGTCTCCACTCCAAAATTATCAGAGGGTTAGCCATGTTAGTCTGAATCTGTAAAAAGCAACAGAGGGTCCTGTGGCACCTTTAAGACCAACAGAAGTATTGGGAGCATAAGCATAAGCTCCCAATACTTCTGTTAGTCTTAAAGGTGCCACAGGACCCTCTGTTGCTTTTTACTCCTAAATTAGGTCAACATAAATCTTCTTGCGTTGACCTATTTGTGAATGTGTCTGTATTCAAATTTGTCTTTGGCTTACATTAGCGCCCCGTTACAGCGACACAGTAAAACTATTTCCCTGAATGGCATAGAGCCATGATCGACATATTGAAGTTGACACAGTGTGAGTGTAGACACCGAATGACCTCTGTCAACCCTAACAGTTCTCCAGCAGCTGTCCCACAATGTATCATTCCCTGTGACAGTGACTGGTCGGGCCACAATTTTAAACTGCACTGCCCAGGGTTCACAGAGACTGGAAGAAACATTCCTTTTAAAATCCCCCCACATGTATTTGAAATGCCTTTTCCTGATTGCCCACCTTGGCGAGCACAGCTAGCTGCTCACCCTTGCATGCAACTGCCCAATCGACCATGCTGGCGCCATGCACTAGACTCTCTCCTGCCTGAAGTAGATGTGATATTGGCTCTCTTGGGCCTGTTGGGAGAAGAGGCAGTGCCAGCACCGCTACCGACCAGCTGTAGAAACATGGACATGTTCGAACAGATTGCACAAGGGCTACAGGCAAAGTGGTATGACAGGAATCATCAGCCGTGATGCGTGAAAACAAAGGAACTTTGTCAGGTATACTGCAAGGCCATGGAACACAATAGATTTGAGGCTGAGCATCCACAGAAAAAAAATGTTGGGTGCTCAGCACCCAGCAACCACCCGCCCATCAGCTGTTAGACTTAAGTAATGCGTCCCAGCCAATTGGTGGACATCTCCCCCAGTCAGGAGCTTCATAGGAGGGATTCTTTGTGAGCTAGAGCTTTCCTAGCTCCCTTCTCCACCAGTTCAGGGGAGCGACCAGGTGGTGGCCATGGTCCGAACACAGCCTGCGGGCTTGGGTTTAAGGCCCACGAGACCTCATAGGTAGTGTGTAGCACACTGAGATACTACCCTTGGTGCACTAAACTTTACATCAACATAAGCACTCCTGGTGGTGCAAGTAACCAAGTATGCATGCACCCGAGTGATATACAAACTTCAGCACCTGTATGCTGACGTACCTGTATCGACCAGTTTGTAGGGTAGACATGGCCTAAGGAACTAGGGAAAGGATGTAGATAGCTCTGCAGATTGATAATTGTATATAGAGCCTCTTACCCCTCAGTTATGTAGCCTGGTTACTCGTAGGCGCTGACTTCTACTGGCGCCGGTGGGTGGCCGACCCCCCCCCCCCGCCTCTGGCCCCGCCCCAACTCCACCCCTGCCCCGCCCCCTCCCACCCCATTCCAACCCCTTCCCCAATCCGCCCCCTCCCTGCCCCT